ATTACTATCCAAGTGACTCAGTAACTTCAACCTTTTTTCTGTGGCTGTTACTATTTTTTTTTTTTTCGTAATTAATGAGCTGACACTTTTGCTCACTACTTTTGCCGGGGCGGCGAAAAAGGAAAAGCTTACAACATGAGCAGCGTGATGGCGGGCGCGCGGGGTTCATCAGCATAAATAGGCAACGGGTGTCAAAAGTAAAAGAATTTGAAATATATACCGCTGAATGGCAATAACGCGTGTGTGTGTGTGTGTGTGGTAGAGAGAGGGACGCGGAGAGAGATAGATAGAGAGAGAGAGAGAGAGAGAGAGGGAGAGAGAGAGAGAGAGAGAGAGAGAGAGAGAGAGAGAGAGAGAGAGGCACAAGGAATATGCAGAGGAGGGGGCAGTGCCCCGAGAGTGCGTAGGGACGGCGCGGGACGATAGGTCGGCGGACTGCTGCACCAGGGTCCTGCGGGCGGCACGGGCGCGCAGCGCAAGGGGCGTAGGAGAACCGGTTGGGTCGCCTCCTATGCCCCTCAGCCTCTGCGCCACCACCAGCCTCCTCCTCCTCCCTGGCGCATTACCGCGTGCAGAGTGCTGCTGCCGCGTGGACCACCTCATAGGCGCACCGCACAGCCGCCGCCGCTGCCTCGCGAGCAGACCGTCAAGGAGAACAAAAGCGCCACGACGACATCGAAAGCTAAATCCGTGAACGCAGTGTTGGCTCTGACACATTGTAATTTAACGTCCCTTTGTCGTGCAGCGCAGTGCCTGTGTGTGTGAGTGAGTGAGAGGTAGAGGGGGGGAAAAGAAATAGGGAAAGGAGAGGGAAGGGGAGTCGCGGGGGCGGTAAGAGACAGCGAGACTTTTGGCTCGGCCGCGCGCCGGCTCTAGACCAAGACGACAGGAAGCAGGCAAGGCAGGAACTAAAGTTCCTTTGCACTCTCCATGCCTGCTGAGCTGCACTTCTAGCTGCTCCACTCTTTTAAACTCACAAAAAGAAACAACCTTATATTTTTTGCGGATAAACTGTAACAGAGCGCAATGCAGGACTGATGCTCAAGTAAAACGTTTCATTGTACGTTGCCTATGATGACAGAAAAATATTTTCGACGATTGTCACTCCTTGTCACACACTTGAAATGAAGGAATGTTGCACGCTCGGTACTTTTTACAACCGTCTGGATATTTTTGTGGAGTGTCGGAGCTGCTGGTGGTGCTTCCTTATGGAATAGAAGCTAAGCTATGCCCTCCTGACACTTCGCCGAGCGGTTTGTATGCTTCCTCTGCCTCATAATTTTTCTAACGCGCACGAAACGAAACGAACACACGCACACACACACACACATGCACACGCGCTCTCTCTCACACACTCACACACATGCACAAGAGCGTGCGGTGTATGACACGTCGAGATAAGTACCGCTTAGGCCCGCCATGTACTATGCATGTAGAGGTGTGGCCGAATTCGTGAGCCGACGGGTGGCAGGGGGGAGAGAGAGGGAGAGAGGGGAGGGGAGAGGAGAGAGAGAGGGGAGAAGAGGGAAAGAATTTGAGTGACGCAACGCGCAATGAGCGACCGAGCGGGCCCCTCTGGGATGGTCGGGCATAGACGGACCAGACAGGCGGACGGGCGGCCCAAAGTGATAGGCCCTAGCGTAAGGGCCACAAGCAGCCGGGCAGCACCGAGCAATCTCCGCTGATCTTCTTATTGGGATGATTGAACAGCCTCCCACAAAAGTAAATGGCCATCACACCGCGGGGCGTGGCGGGGCGTGGCGGGGCGGCCGCACCGCGGCGGTGTGGTGGCGGGCGCACGAGCGCGCACACCGCCCGGGCTGCAATTGTGTCTAAGCCACAGGCCTTCTTCTCTACACTGGAAATCCAAGTGTGTGAATTTGACGTGTGAAAAGTCATTCGTACACTTAGCCGTGCATAAGGGTGCAAAATTTAACGACGGAAAATTCACAACTCTTACTTGATAAAAGTCTGCGGAGTGGGAATTCACACTCTTTTGAGTTTAAAAAAGTAGGGAGTTGTTAAAAGAAAACGTCATAAATGCTGCGCTGCTTTCCAATTTTCTCACAATGTTTTGTTTCTCCTATAATAACGCTAGTGTTGTTGGCAAAGGGATCAGAAGGTTTACAGCTGGTTTACAGTTTTATAGAGGACATTCAAACCTTGCATGAAACTTCAATGAGATGATGTTTGGTTTTTGTTTTTTCAGAATTTATTTTACATTTATCTGCAAAAAGTCCCATTCAGCATACAGACACCACAGCCGATGGTTGTTGTAGAACGAGCGATGTCAGCGCCGCGGTAGCCCGCACATTCACACAATACTTGGATTCAGAGAGTGCACGCGCGCACGGACCTCGCCGTCTGGGCTCTCGGCTCTCTGCACCTCAGCCGCCGATACGCCCCAGCTGCCGGTAGTGCGGTCAGGTGGCGCCCGCCCCCCTCCCACTCAAACAACCCCGTCTGTTTCCCCCCCTTCATCACCACCACCCCCTATCTTCTTCTTCCAACTGTTCCAACCAACCCGCGCCCAAACGTGTTGGCAAGGATCCTAGGAGAGCATGCCCGTTAATGAGGTCTCATTAAAAGAAAGAGAGGAGGAAAAAAAGACACTGAACTCTCGTCGCATTATGCAGAGCGGAGCGCACTATCACACACACACACACAAACACACGGACTCACACTCACACACACACACGGGTCGGACCCTAGGAAAGTAAGGCCGTATGTCAAAAGACTGCGTTAAGCGGCGCAATCAGGAACTAGCCCAACCGCTACTGCTCTATGTATGTATGAATGAATGTGTAGGGAGAGTGTGATTGTGAGGGCGAGTGTTTGTGGCACATCTCACACGGCTAGAGAGATTTTAACGAAGCTCCTCCTTAACACAGCAGGACGACGGCTAGGAGGGGTTTGTCCGCGAGAAGAGGCGCGCACCTTCACAACCACCCTCACAGCCCGGGGGGTGGGGGTTTGAGGAGAGGCCTGCTTGGGGCGGCCAGCAGGCCCTTCGGTCAGGAGGGGTGTTGGTAAGGGTGCAAGCTTGCACCCTCTGCGCCCCCTCTCCCTTCCCGACCGTCCCCGGCACCTTCGTTAGCCGCCACTCGTATGCGACCTTGTTCCCCGTTACTTTACTTTGCCCTTGGCGGCATGTCGCGCTTCCGGTTTTAATTAAATAGTACTTTCTCGGTGTGACCAGAAAACTAAAGTACCCAAAGAAGGTCCCTCTCCCCCCCACTCCTATTTTCCGTTTATATTCTTTTGCCTCTCTGCGAGAGGGGAGTCGGCTGACAAATAATTATCGGGGACTCCTCTGAGAGACCAGTGAACTATAAACCTGTGTTCTATTAGACTGGAAAGACAAACAGACATAGCAAATGACACTCCGGTTTTAATAGCTCGCACCGCAACAGCATGAAGATGGCACGTGAGAAACAAAACCTCATCCGTTTTATGCCATTCCTCCCTTTTTTTCCTAGTCATTAGGGCGCTTATATTACAATATTTTCGAGCCCCCGCGCATCCCAATCCTACTTATTCCTCACACTCCACACAATAACACACATATATGCACACACAACCACACACAGATACTCCCAGCCGTAAAACCGTCTGCTTGACGCACCAACTATAGAAAGGGGGTTAGAGTCACGCAATAATAAATACACCGCGAGCGTGTGTGTGTGTGCGGGCGCGCACACACACACACTTGCTGTTTCCTAATTTGTGGAGAATAGAGCGCGTATCTATTGTAATGCTTTCCAGACGCTGACTCGCGGCGTACACGCACACACACACACACGTAGATAATACCCTCACTGGCTGCCCCACACACGTTATATGCGCTTTGTGCAAATAGTTCCTCTGCTCCACTGACTCCT